AAGGTTCTGTTTTTTTTTTTTTGATTGGGGAACTCTTGTAATGAAGAAATTTCAAAATGAAAAAAACAGAATTATTATAAATATAAAGACACTAAACATGCAAGAGAAATTGCTTAGTACTTTTCATCCCTGACTTTATGTTTTAAGATTTTATAGCTTGGAACAACAGTTTGATATTGGGGATCTATATAGCGATACAGGACCAAACAGTGTGGAAAGGATTGACAATGGAGTCCCAACCGACAATAAGGAGGTCAAAGAGTGATGATGAAGGACTTGGTATTACCAGTGGAAAGTTTCCTAATTCACATAAAAACTTTGGCATTTTGTTTTTGAACTTGGCATCGTTTTAAGGAATTAAGAAAGAAGATTCAATAATAATAATAACATTACATTGGAATCGTAATCATGTAAATAGTTTTTAAAACCCAGGGAAAAAGTTACTTTGAATTCAGTTGAGGATGAAATGGAACTAATGTCTTTAATTTAATTACAAAATTAAATTCAAAGCTTTTAGCTTCCATTTTAAACATATTAGAACTGTGTAGTGGAAAAACCATATTTTAAATCAATTAATTTATAAATATATATATATATATATATATATATATATATATATATAAATTATTATTATTGAATTTTCTTTTGCCTTCCTCACAATCCAATTCATCAGACCGACAAATTCAAAAAAAAATTAGAAAATATAACTCTGGATAAAAAAAAAAAATTTTAGTGAGAGTATATGTGGGGAGTAAGAAACAAGTGTGAGAGGGAAATGTATGAAAGCTCTAGAGGTGTAACAGAAGAAAGAAGAACAGGAGGGCCTAAAGGTGAAGGTGGGGATTAAAATTTAACAGAGAGAAGTTTTAAAGAGAGGAGTTAAATAACAGTTTAAATGAGTGAGATACAGATAAATATGAATTATTTTCAGATGCATAAATCACTACTGATTCAATGACCTAAAATTAAAATTAAAAACAGACATGACATCAGTATAGAAGTATATATTTATGAAATAAAATGACAATAAAATTGAGCAATTACTAGTGTTCCTATTGTCATTTTTATTCATATCCATATATATATATATATATATATGTTGTATATTTGTGCACATATGTGTATGTCTATGTATATATGTATGCATATGAGTGTATGTGTGTGTATATATAAATGTGTGTGCACATGTATATGTATTTATGTGCAAGTATGTATCTATGTTGTTGTGTATGCAGTATATACATATGTGTTTTTTGGGCACATAAATAGTAGGTCTTTACTAGATTAAATATTTTTAAATGTTTATGTTAAATTTGTAACCTGTAGGTGATATTACTTGCTCTATCTAATTATTGTTGATTACGAATCATTTCTATATAAATGCCTCATTTTTTGTTTGCACCCCCACTTTTTTATTTCCCTCCCTCATCTTCTTTTTCTTATATATATATATATATATATATATATATATATATATATATATATATATATATATATATATACATTGTATATATAAATATATAATGTGTTATGGACATATATATATATATATATGTATGTGTATATATATATATATATATATATTTATAAAATATATATATGTATATCCATCAGTATGTATATATATATATATATATATATGTATATATATATATGTATGTATTTATATATATATATATATATATATATATGATATTTATGTATTGGTATATTATATATTGGATATATATTTGTATTTCTATATATATAAATACGTATATATGTATATATATATATATGTATAGATGTATATATATATATATATATTATAGTTTGTGTGTATATGTATATGTATATATATGTATGTGTGTATTTGTCCAACATATATATATATATATATATATATATATATGTATGTATATGTATATATATAGTTGTATGTATATATATATATATATAAAATATGTGTATATATATATATATAATATATGTATATATATATATATATATATATATATATATATATATATATATATATATATATATATATATATATATATGTATGTATATAAGTTATGTGTGTATATATATATATAAATGTATGTATATGTGTGTATGTATTTGTATATATATATATGAATACATATGTATACAATATGTATATATATATATATATATATATATATGTATATCAATATTGGCAATATATATGTATGTATATATATACATATATTTGTGGATATATATATATATATATATATATATATATATGTATGTATATATATATATATATATATATATATATGTATATATATATATATATATATGTATATATATATATATATATATATATATATATATATTTGTCATATATATATATATATATATATATATATATATATATATATATATATATATATATTCACACATTTTATATATATATATATAATTATATATATATATATATATATATGTTAGTTTTTATATATATATATATATATATATATATAAATATATATATATAATATATATATAATTTGTTGTATGTATATATATATGTATATATATGTATATATATATATATATATATATATATATATATATATATATATATATATATATATATATATATATATATGTGATGTATATATATCCTATGTTTTTATTTATGATATTTTTATTCATTCAGTTTTTCTGCTTATGTTTTTATAAAGATAACAATCCTATTTATATTATTTATAAAAAAATCCATTTACATGAAGGGCATACTGAAGGGTTGATCATAATATGGCATATGATTTAGTATAATTATTAATTTTATTCAGATGATTGAGATGATTCTTTTTCAAAGTTATTTATATATTTCCAAACAGGTATTTCTAGTTTGTTTGGTTTTAAAAAGCAAGTTCAAACTCCTCTATAGAGATGTTTTCAGCAATTAAATTGTATTTAAATTTTTCCTTGAAGCATAATTTTTTAACAGCCTATGTTACACTTACCATGAAAAAAGTTATTCTGTACATGAAATTTTTAAATCTGATCATCACATATTCTGATGACATGACCAGCCCATCTGAACTGTGATTGCATTAACGAAAGGATTCAATACCACTGACACCACATTTGATTCAAAAAATTTAGGGTTAGAGATTTTGTCCTGCTGTGTATAGCCACATATTGAACAAAGATAGTGTTTATGAAAAGCATCAAGTTGATTGATGTGTGTTGTGTATGGCGTCCATAATTCTAAAACCATAAAGAAGTTTATTCCAGAATATAATTGATAGACACTGATTTTTTAATTTAGTGAAATCCCAAAAACATACTATACATGATGCTTAGGCTTCTCAAATGCATTGGTTGCCTTTTTTATATTCATAAAAATTATTTTTACATCCAAAGAATTGAAAACCTTTGTAAAAGAATGATTTCAATATAATTAGGTTTATTGCTGCCAACATCAATTTGAATTCTATTGGAAATTTATTTTTGTATGTCATATGTATTGTGTATATATATATATATATATATATATATATATATATATATATATAGAGAGAGAGAGAGAGAGAATTTGAAAAATATTTTGATAAAATGTATGGATAATCAAGGCAACCTTATGTCCAATGATTATATTTTTTTTTTAAGGAAAGTAATTTTATTTTTCCTAATCAAAAAAATTTTTCATAAAAGATAATGGTTTAAAATTTACATATTATTATTTTTATTCAAAGCTTTTTGAAGGTGAGAAAAAATGTTTAGTGATAGATTGTAGGTAAGAGGAGGATGACAGATATATGTCTTAAGAGAAGAGAAAAAAAAAAATTTTAAATTTATTTTATTAAGATACTTAAGAGTAAGGGAGATTGTGTATTATATAAATTTTCTTGTATTTATTTATAAGAAAAAAGAGGAAAAGTAAAGAAAGAGACAAGATATAAAGGAAAGCAAATGGAAAAAAAATTCAACCAAAAAGGAAAAGGAAAATTAAATTAACATATATAAGCATATTTCTTAAAATAATTTTAAAAATTATAGATTAATTTAATTTACATATTTAATCCTATTTTTTTTTTTAAAGATTACCAAAAAATAAAAAAATAAATAGAAAAAAAAAATGTTAATATTAATAATGTATAAAACAATTAATAGTTAAAAGTAAAAATTATGTATTTAAAATTTAAAATTCAAAATTTAAAACAAATTAAAAAAATTCAAAAAGGATTGAAAAAATATAATATCAATAAACATAATGGAATAAAAATATTAAACATAATAATAATAGCTATAAAAAATAATTATATAATAATAATGGTTTAGTAATGTTATTTGTAAATTTATTGATTTAAAGGTAAATTAAATATAAATTTCCATTTTCATATATATATATACAGGTATATAGGTACTTGCACACACATATACATACATAGATCCACACACATATAAACACATCAAGTACATCATCCAAATATACACATATACATACATATGCACATATATACATAAATGTATACTTACACACACAAAAAATATACATGAATACAAATACATAATATGTACATATATTTTAACAATATTATATATACAATATATTGAAACAATAAATAAATATATAATATATATATATATATATATATATATATATATATATATTTAATTAATTTATTGAGTATTTTGATAGAAACCTAAACAGAATGCAATTTTAAAATATTTGGGACTCATCAGCAGTGCTTAAATTATTTCCAAACCATTTTAATTTAAATTGAATCAAACTTATTAGGTTATTGGAACAAACATCATGTTAACTGTTCCAATATCCTCATTGACAAATATTATTGAAACGTCATTTCAAAGAAAAAGGCATTCTGTTGAGGTTTCTATCAGATATATATATATATATTTATCAATAATTGAGTTGGGTTAAATATATATTTAAGCTATTTAACAAATTAACAAAAACTACACAAAGATTTGCACTTTGTAATCATATTTATTACAAAATCTTTTTCTTTCATTTTTAGGTTCCTTCATGAAATCCTGACCACAATTTTGTTGTCAAGATGACATCCCCTGAATTTGCAGCCATTTGCTGCTTAAAAGGGGCTGGAAGATCAAACACAGAAACAGAGAATGAAATCATGGCTAGCAACATTTTCAACGGCATGTGCCTTTCCTCCTCTGCTCTCAGTCTCATTTATATATTTATATATTTTTCTCTCTGAGAAACACAGTCAAACAACTCTTCTTATACCAGGTTTAAAATTACCAAAACCACAGCCACTTAATGAAGTTATACGGTGGTTAGCTGTAGCAGACATCCTTATGGCACTTGGTGAGTAGTAGCCTTGTTAAGAACCTGATTGATTGATCTAGAAATGCCTGGTTAAGGCTATACACACCGAATAAAAAAAATATGTTAAAAACCAAAGAAAAATTCCTGAATTGAACCGAGGAAAACTGCTAAAATAAATATATCAATGTTGTATTTTTTAAATTTAATCATTAGGCAGGAAGGATTTAGAACAGTTTTTTTTTTAATCACTTTCACCCCAAGCAAGGTAGTAAAGACACTGGGTGTGGAAGAATTAGAAACAAAAACATTACTAATGAGTGGGAAGAGAAAAGAATAATCAAAAGGACAGTAGACAGCAATTGACATTGTATTTAAACTTTTGCAGATTAAAGTTGGCTAGAAAGCATGGAGCCAGAAGGGAGTTCCACAAGTGAGAAGTGCAAGAAAAGAAACTGTTAGCATAGAATTTATGGTTACATCTAGCCAGCTCAACTGTAAATTGATGAGATCTGGCCGCCAGTCTAGTATTGCCCTTAAATTCGAAGAGTCTAGGGACCATAACAAAGAGCTGATCTAAATTATCATGAAAGTATTTATAGAAAAGGCACAGAGGGGCAACATTATGGCAGTTTTAAACCAAATTTCAATTTAAAGCAAAGACTTGCTTTGATTATTTCTTTGTGTTATTTGTTTAACTTTTAAGTGTCTTAAAAAACAATTTATTTTCCATCAAAGTTCAGTTAACATTCAGTTATTTTTTAAAGTCAGAAAATGTAGTCAGTAGCCATATTGCTTTGTGAATTTTTATTCCCACAGCAAAATCAATCTTATATCATTAGGAATATGAAAATATTTTAAAACTAGTCATTTATGAATATCATGATATAGGTAGTATTTATGGTACAGAAATATCAAAACCAATAATATATACAGGTTGAATATCCTTTATCCAAAATTCAAAAATTTTTTAGATGTTGACATGACTTATTGGAAAATGTTCAAAAATTATTTTGAAAAAGTTTTTTTTCAGGAAATATCCTTTTCAGTCATTTGTTTTTTAAATGAGGTCTATTCTATTTTACACTGCTTGTAAAACAAATTATGATGACCTTCTGAAGACACCATTCTTTTATTCATGTTTGCATCACCAATGAAAATATATATATTCCTTGTTCTCACTTGATTTTATATATACAAAAAACCATGTCTGACTGACCAAACAACATTCTTGGCTTTGTCTTCAGTCACACAGTCAAATGTCATCCTCCAGTCTGATCATTCAGCATACAGACTGCTATTGGTGAGCCATGCTAAGTTATATAAAAGTCAATGTTTCAGAATCATACATTTGTTTTAACTAAAAAGTTTAATAGCCTGAATGAAAAGAATTTAAACATTGTAAATTGTATCTATAAAAAAGAATGTTAAAACATAAAAATGTCTTTAATAAATTGTCAGACTTTGTCCATTTCTTAATGTATGACGTCATTTGTTTACATTTGATACGCCATAAGCAGTTATGAATGTACGAGATTCATGGAAGATTGAAGTTTATAAGCAGTAAATTCAACCTTGCCAACAGAACGATCCTTTTGTGGCCGGTTGTGGTTAAGGCACGTCAAGCTAAATGACGGTTCCATATAGGATGCAGGTTCAAATCCTGTCAAAGGACGAATATTTTCTATGAAAATTTCTTTACATTCAGGTCGGTAAATGTTATTTAATACTGTTTATTATAAACAGAGCATTTACTTAAATACTTGTATCTATAAAAAGAATGTTAAACATAAAAATGTCTTTAATAAATTGTCGGACTTTGTCCATTTCTTAATATATATATATATATATATATATATATATATATATATGGCACCCTAAATTCTGGCAGGTAGGGAAAAATGAAACAATTCTCATATTTGTATTTACATTTTTCAGACTGTTGTCCTCAACTTTATTGTAATATCCACAACATTTCAGCCATTGTACACTCCAGCCTTCTTCAGGTGATATATGTCAGAATTTTGAACTAGACACTTTATTTAGTTCACAGGGGTAGGTTGTTGTAGTTCCATGTGCCTTGTCTTTTCTTTATGTCTCAGTTTCAGTTAATTCTCTTTAGTAACTCAACTCTCCAAGTTTTTTTTTTTCACTTCTGTTGGACCATGTGTCCCTAAGGACATATGACCCAGTGCATAAAAGTATTGGTTGAAGTAATCCAAAAGTGACTTGGCCTAAAGAGTTGTCAGTTCAATACCTGGCCATAGCAGAGGTAGAAAAATAAAACAACAAAAAAAAGCAATCTACCCCTATATATTAAATGAAGGGTTCAGGTTGAAATTCTTTAAAGATTATTTACATTATTTGGACTGTTATCCTTGTCTTTGTTGCCATATTCACAATGTTTCAGCTGTTGTACGCTCTGGCCTTCATCAAGTGATTGGAATTTTGAACCGAAATTCAGTTCATTTTGTCCACATCAGGGATGAAATTGTTAACTCCCCAAAGACATCTGGCCCAGTGGATAAAGATGTTGGTTAGATCCAGTGACTAGACCCAAAGAGTTGTGAGTTCAATACCAGGCTACAGCAGTGGTGAACCCAAAAACTTGATGTTTCCCTGATCACTACAATTTTAACCTGTTAACCATTATCTCCCCCTCCTATCCATATAAACTACCCCTTAATGTAACCTTTTTTAACTTGAGTGGCCTGAGCCCTGTACAGGGTGAAACTGAAAAAAAAAAAAAAAAAAAAAAAAAAAAAAAGGAAGTGAATGCTGGACAATTTCCTCACAGGAGGAGAAGAGACCTAAAGTGACTGAGGAATGCTAAGAATATTATGAACAGAACATGTGAGCAGCAAGGAAGTTTTAAGGAAAACAGGGACACTTACAATCATAGAAAGGTAGCTGAAATTTCTGGGACACCTAATGAGGAAAGAGGGCATAGAGAATGCAACACTCACAGGACATACTGAAAGCAAGGGGAAGTAAATAACTTGCTTAAAAATCTTGTGTGAACCAATGACAAGATCTAAGAGGGATAGTAAAGGGTCTAAAGTTACTTAGAGCAATAACAGACAGGAAGTTGTGGGGAGCCATGATTTCCCACCTATTGAGAGGAGATGACACATAAAAGTAGATTTTTCTTCTATGTGCTGTGTCCCTTCAAGACATGAGTGATCATGACTCTCCACAACTTCCTATCTTTTGTAGCTCTTAGTAAGGTTGGTCTTTTAACCCCTGCTTTCAGGTGTCTGTTCTGCCATCCATCTACACAAGCTTGTTAGGTAGGTTATTTGCTGTTTCTCAATGTTGCTCTTGCCATATAGCAACCCACAATGTTAATATCAGATGATTATCAGAGGTAAAATATCTTGAATTTTTATTATATGAAACATGTCAGCCATTATTTGTTTTTGACTAGAAATTCTATTTAATAATTTCCCTTCCTGCTTCAGATGTCATGCATGATACATGAATTCCCTCAGTAGGCTGCTGTCACTTTTTGCAGTACTGGTTGCCAACCATGCCTAGACCTAGATAGCCCAGTCTATTTAACCCATAGCTGGGGGAAAGAGATGATTGGTTCATTTACTACAGCTTATCAACCTTTTGCTAGTCATTTAAAGCCAGAAAATATTTTTAGATTGTAAGATTTTTTTGTTATGATAAGAATGATTTAGTGATACAAGTCTTACTAATTAACCCAAAGCTGAGGGAGAAAAGGTGGATTCATCACTTTCCCAATGGTATTTGTGTGTAAGTGAATATAATGAACCCAATGGGAATTGGAACTTGGTTTTTCAATGTGAGGCAGCTGTAAGCCACGAGAAGAGATACCTTTCCCAAGAGTATTTGCACATAAGTGAATGTAACAAATTCTACTGGTATTTGAACTTGGCTCTCCAATTTCTCATTTAAAGCCATTATCCATTACACCACCTGCACATCCATCATAATTTTAGTTGCTCTTGATTGCAACTACTCAGACCATCAATCTACAACAATTATTAAAGTCTGTGGTTTCAAAATAAACAAAAAGACCCAAGTCAAACTCAGATTTTTATCTTCCTTTTTTTCTCAAGCAAACTGTATTTCCACAAAAGCACTGTGCAACTACTTTTTTTTAAAATCATTTCGTCCCAAGGAAGGCAATAATACAACTAAGATGCATAAAAAGCTACAGGAGACTTTAAAAGAGAACTGCAAGACTTTAGTATTAGAAACAAGGACAAGGACAATAAAGGACCAGGATTCAGAAAGACAGATGATGATGATTGATGAAGCATTTAAATTTTATATGATTGTAGTTGGCAGGGAAGCAAGAAATAGGAAGGAAGTTCCACATACAAGAAATGCAGTTGAGGTACTAAGAGAATAGCTCATCAATTGCAATGAAAATATTTACAGAAAAGACTGAAGGAAGTCATGTCATGTTGATGAGAAAGTGACTGAAGTCAAGATACCCAGTCAAAATCGATTACATGACAAACCTTCATTGAATTTTGTCAAGAATCTTGAGATATATAGTAGGAACACTACACCAGATATGGCTGCAATATTCAATGCACAGAAGACTGATAGATTTATAAATGTGCAAGAAGGATTCTGATGAGAAGAATTCTCTGACATGACTCAGTGAATCAACTTTCCTAGCAGTAGACCTAGCAAGTGATTCAGTTCATCCACCAAAACTTAATGGTTGACTAATTAACTGTTAATAATTAAATTGTGTGCCTTGTCATGAGGTAAGAATAAAATTGTCTTGCAGAGTATTACTACTGTAGTAAGATAGCCAGTAAATGGCCTGAATTTGTTGTCTTGAGTTGGATCAACACTAAATATCAATCATCATTTCTGCTGTCCACAAAATTTTTTTCTTTTTGTATTTTTGATTTCTTTTTATTCTTTGTATTTTTCATTTCTAGGATTCTTTACCAGATCTATTGTCTGGCTTCTGGGGCAAACACCTTACCCCCAAATCCCCAAAGTGAGTGTCAAACATGAAGTTTGCGTTGCTGTTACTGTAAGTACTTTTTACTTTTCTTCTTTTATAAACTTCATTAATTGTTAAAAATTGGTGCAACACAATCTTCCTAGCTTCATTAACCTACCCAACTTTAAATTGAGGGAAGTTGTCCAAATTGACTACTATGATATACAATTTTACAACAGTGTTTTATTTTGTAAAAAACAATTGGGATTATTTAAGGATATTTTCTGAGGATGCCTGTATGCTATGAGGGTTGAAAAAATTGAAAATTATGCAGTTTGTATTATTTCAATACAAAGAATAAATGGGGGGCATGAAAATAATTGCAAAAGTTTTGAATAATCTCATTTTAATCTAAACCAATGACTTTCTCACAAATTAAATCAAATTAAGAAAAACTGGCCATTATTTGCTGTTATAACTTTTCTTTTACAGAATCAGTGTTTGTGTTAAAAAAAATACTTGTTATCGTTTTTAGAATCTTTAACTTTTCTTGCATCTTGCAAAGAATTTTCTCAGCTGAAACTTAGAAAAAGGTTGTATCCATTGATCTTTTATGACCTGGGCTTTTCATTTCCATTTCACAAACAATAAATTATTAACATCTTGTATCACACTTTTTTTTTGTTTGATTTTATTTAGCAGCATATCAACCTCTGGGGGTTATTTAATGCTGAAATTTAAATATTTTGAACACTATTTTATGGTTTCAACTAAATATATTTTGTATGCAATTGTATGCCTTCAACTACAGATAAAATGTATTGTTGGTCATGTTACTATAAAATGTATTGTTCGTAACTTTATTATAAATATGTATTGTTAGTAATTTTTTTATATAAAAATATACTTTAATACTTTCATAGTGTTTTTGTTTGGAGTTCACTAACAGGTGTTACCACCCTTGGTCAGGGTGGACCTGTGAACAAATACAATTAAGAAGTGGTCCCACTCTCCCCAAAACCTCCAATTTCTCAATTAGTGGCCTTGCACCCAGATGTAGTTTATCGTCATATCCAAAATTTTAAAATTGTACTGTAGGTAATTTTACTATAAATCTGTATTGTTGGTATTTTTTTCATATATGTACTGCTGGTATTTTTACTAGAAAATAGTATTTATATGCTTTCATAATGTTTTGTTTTTGTTTGGGAGTTCATTATTTGCCCATAGCTGGGATTCTGACAGGTCCTACCACCCCGAGACAGGGTGGACCTGGGAACAACAGCAATTAAGAGTTGGTCCCATGCTCCTCAAAACTGCCAATCTCCCAATCAGTGGCCTTGCTGCTGGATGTAGTTTATCATCATACCCAGTATTACTGAATCACATTACTTTCATGAAAATTTAAACGCTTTAGAAAGACATCATGTTCACAAAATGTCTCATTACAGATTATTGCAATAACTTCCATATGAGAGTGACAACAATATCTACCACTTCAGATTGGTACTGGCTGGAGAGAGGAATATTAACCAATTGTATGAAGACATCCATTCTTTGGCTTAGCCATAAATATGTTAGTAAAAGCGGCAGGAGTAGAATGTCAGGGTCCCTTGTAAATGTTTGGCACCAGTCAACCAACAATAAGGGCTTATATGAAGGACTTATGGTTGTTAAGAGGACTCTAAAAAGTTATGCCTTGGACCAAAATGGAATTTTAGCCAGAGTATGCCAAAGAGAAGTAATTTATAAAAAAATTATAAATATAGACATAAAAGCTAAACAAATATAAATAATTAACAAAAAGTCATTAGAATAAAGTAAATTCTCAATTAAAAGAAAGGTTAATCAGATTAGATTTATATTTTATGCTAGCCTAGAAGCTGCACTTTAGATTGACTTTAGGCTAGCTTTGGCCTTTTACCTTCAGTGTCCTATGTACATAAATGTTATAAGAATTTAGAAATAATAAATTATTCTGTTTTTATTCAACACCTTAATTTGGCATAATCTTTCTTCATATGCACAACCAATCTGCATAGTTTGTTTACATTTATTTTGCATGCAATTTTTATTTTCTTTTAAAATCACCATTCTTTATGATCCCTTTATATACAGTCACACTTAAAAGACATTAAGAAATCCATACTATGTAATATTTTGAATACATCACAGCACGCATGCTAGAAAAAGGAGAAAACTCATTTGAGCAATGTACTGTGCCCCACATAAGTTTTAATTATGGTTTAATTAGACGATATCAATTGCAATGAAAAGTGAAATTTTATGTTTTTTATTGTTCACCTGGTCTTCAAAAATAATAAATAAATACAGGTGAATATTATCTTTAAATACAAAGTAACAACTGGGGTATAAAATTAGGGAAAGAAAAGTGGAAAGAAAAAGAAGACAGCAGATAATGACTTGTTACATTAAAGAAGACAAATAACTTCAAATAAAATCTCAAGAAACCAGAAGAAATAAACCCATGTCATAGTGCTCTATGAAAGAATGGCATTGCCTAATGACAGAAAACACTTAAAGCACCTTAAAAAAATCTGCTAGAATAGAAAGAAATGCTAAAACAACAATGTCCGAAGAATATGTAGCACCTGGCTGCTGGGATGAGATAGTGTGCTTAATCAGCACAAGTGGTTTTACCTGTCAGAAAGAGGTTGATGTTGGAAAACGTGAAACTTTTAATGAAACCAGGAAAATGTCACTAACAGCTCATCCCAGATTATTTGAAGAATGTAAGTTATGAATCGGGTGGGGTGGGGGGACATTTTTTTATAGGACTTTTCAAATCATTCTCTTTGTTGTCCTTTAGTAAATCTTTTTCACAATCAACTCAAACAATGTGATCACATATCTTAAAATCAATATTAGATCTTCTAATAAACAATTTAGGACTTGCTGTGGAAGCATTTTACTGAGGATTATCCACTTGTTATTATCAATATGATTTAATAAGGTATGTTTTTTAGATGATAAATTATTACATATTGTACTTGATAATGCTGGATTACTCAGATTGGAAATGAATGGAACAAACATGTTTCTTATTTTGATTCCTTGAAGTTGTTCTACTTTGTCAACTATTGAAAGCAGCTTTAAATTTATTGTCAGTTAAAATGTTTAATTCACATGGCAGATGGGCTTTCTGACTGCCTGAATAATTTAGATCCTTTTTTATTGCTAATTCTCCCTTTATTAACTTTAATCTTCTCGTACATCTCATTATTCATATTGTCATTATATATTCTGGAGTTGTTGGTGTCATTCAAGTTATTTCCAGTCATCACGCCCATTACTATTAAAGATTGTTTCTACAGAGTGCAATGGGTAAATTGTTGCCATTTTATATTTTTAATTTTGTGCATACAGATTTGTTTTTGATTTTGTTGACTGAAGAGTATAGAAGAATCAGTTGGGCACCATCTGTGAGAAAAAGAGCACTATGACACAATTCACTCAGCCATAAATTTTGAAACTGTACTGCTTGGCATTTGTGGCAGAAGCTCCAATACAAACATTTCGGACTGTTTGGGTGTCAATCTGAGGACAGTGCAGAGGATTCTGAAAAAGTTGGATGAGTTTAATAGCAATTATGAATGTACGGCAGCTAGGGAAACTCACTCTGATTGTTCTGATCAGGAAAGAACTCTCAAATTTGTTGGCGAGGGCCTCAGACTCAACACAGAGGTCTACATCAAGTGCCTTGAGGAGGTAGTGCTGCCCTGGGTCAAGATGATGGCTGTTGGAAGATCCTATGTCTGGCAACAGGACTCTGCACCATAGCACACAAGTAGGAGAACCCAGTCATGGCTGTCAGATAATTTGTGAGACCACATTGCCCCTTACTTCTGGCCACTTAAATCTCCAGACTTCAACCCCCTTGATTATAATGTGTGGGCACAGTTGAATGAGAGAATAACAAAACTCCTTGTAACACCAAAGATGAACTGAAATCAAAGATTATGGCAACATTCACCAACTTAAACAAGGAGACTGTCCAGAAGAGATGCAGGAGATTCTGAAGTCATCTGGAGGCTGTGGTTGAAGCCAATGGCTATTTTATTGAATAAATTTACTCTTTAGTATTTAAAGATATTTTTGTGTAATTTTGGTAAATATATATCTTAAAATAAGATGTCAGTATTATTTTCATTTTTGCATAATTTAGACAACACTTTATTCATCGCACCCTGTATTTTCTCAGTAAATCTAACAATACCACCATTATTACTTTACTTTGATATTGTCATCATCAGTGTTTCATTGTTTTTTTTTTTTCTGGAGGGAAGATAATTTGGTCAGATGGCAAAATAGCCACATTTTCTATTAACTGTTTCATGTTCAAGATTTTCAATCCAACTGTTCTTTTATTCTTTGAAGTGTTCTCTTTATTGATTTGACTGGAGTTTCTAAAACTTATTCCAGATTTTGAAATGGTAGAATTCTTCTGCTTTGGCACTTGAGTAAGATTTTCTATTAGTGATTTTAAAATGGTTAAAAATTGGACTTTTCCTTACTTCTAAGGCTGTACCATTGTGGATTCTTATTACCATATGGAGCTGGTCTTTGATATCCAGGGTAACCCCCACCCCATTAGAAGACTAATATTCTTATCCATATTCTTTTGTATTTGCCTCTACCATAATTTCACCATTTTCTGTTGTCTCTTTTCCTTCTTCAGTTCTTTCATTTTTCACAAGTTTACCTGATTCTTTGTGGCTGATCTAGGATTTTCCTTGTGAATAAATGTTTGATATGTTCGCATTAAACATAGGACAAAGTTATTTCTCAACTGATATTGTGATCAGCAAATCTTTTGCCTAAATCATGTTTATTTAATTTTGGATTTTCTTACATCTACTGTTTAGCCTTTCAAGTATTTTGATAATGATCTGTCTTTTTTAGTTGTGTACTCATTTTTTTCTCTTTTTGTAAATCCTTACTTGGCTGCATATTACCTTTTCTTGCAAATGTTTGCCTTGTGCCAGACTATGCTTAAGATATACCTTCTTGACAATATTAAGCACTGTTGCCAAATCATTCCAAGAACAGTGAATTAGGATTTAATCTTTTTCCTGCATTGTGGACCTTATTTTCATGTAATTAGAATCGACTGTTGTGTAGCCTTCTGTCCAAAGTCTAATCCCTGCTGTTGCTTGATGATGTGATCTCTTTGATCCAAGCTTTGCCTTAGCTCACGTTATGTTTGATTTTGATCACAAGGCTGGCAAGGATTAAATCATCGACAGGAATCATTGTATTGGTTTGGTCCATGCAGAGTGAAGTCACAAGTAAAAAACATAATTTGAATAAAAGAAAATGTTTTTGTATAACATTCTTTGTATAGGGCTTGGTTAATTCTTGATATTAAAAATTATCAGTTCTTCATGCAGAAAGTATCAACCTTTTCTGCTTTGTAAGTCTAGTGTGATATTTTGGTTGGTTTAACTAATTCTGAACAAGGCTTATGTCAGAGGTTTTCTTCAGGCAGCAAGTCGCACAAGATCTGACACAGCTGTTACCTCTCCTTCTTGGCATCTGAAACAACTAACTTGGTCACCTCAATCTCCTGCTTTTATGGACCTTCACCTGAAACTGGCATGGGGTCTGACATGGCTTGGGGGTTTTGTCTGGCTCTGGGAAACTAATTACATGCCCAATTTTGGGGAGATCCCCTCTTCTATTAGTGGTCACAAGATATCAATCTGCCATAACTCAGACCTTCTCATTTTGGTACCTTACACCAAGGGGCATAGACAATTCCTCTATCCTCGTTGGTATTTCACCTAGGTCCTTCACTTCAGTTGTCATTTTGACAAATTTGATTTTTAAACAGTGTAGGTGAAATGGCGTGGTTTAACTTATTTAATTGTAATTATTGCTTAATTTTTTGTCAGTACAATTTCCCAACTTAGGGTCCCATCTTCATAATCAGAAACTTACCAGATGTTTCCTTGACAGTTACTTAGCAAGTATTGGCTTGTGTATCTTGTTTGCTTAGCTGTAACACTTTGGTTTGGTTCTTAACTAAAGAAATCCCATCTCTTTAATGATTTTCTTTTCCCCTTTTTGACAGGCCAATTAATAAATTTCACCTTCGTCTTCAAAATTCCAAATTTTTACATTTCAAGTGGCCTTGTATGCAATCAGGAGACATGTTTCGTAACATGCTCTTTAGTAAGCGGTCATAAATTAATTTCTCTGTATCTACCTTGTTTAGCAAGATTCTTGGCAGACCTTGAATGTCCTTACATCATATTTTCCCACCCCTTGTTGGTTTAAACTATCCAGATGGCCTTTTCAGTTAGATAAATAAAGCTGTTTTTCAAGTCAACCCTACTTTTTTCCTTTGATTTTATTAAATGAAAAAAAAAAAAAAACAAAACAATTTCTCTGAATTTAGTAAAATCTTGCTTTGTTTTCTCGGTATAGCTATCAGGCTATCTCTTATCCTTTTCAATGCCCTATAGTGTCAGTTGCAATTTTCATTTTAATTGTTATTGGTCCTGACCTGGCATCAGTCCTTTTCCCACCACCATAATGTAGCTTCCCTGTGCCTTTTTCTATAAATACTTGGTAATTGTTCTGAGGAACTTTCCTTTATGGTACCTAGACTTTATGAATTTAAGTGCAGTACTAGATTGGCAGAAAAGTTTCATTATTTTATAATTGAAATGGCTAGTTGCAACCATAAGTTCTATGGTAATAGTTTCTTCTATCGCACTTCTTGTTTGCGGAACTCTATTCGAGCAACTTGCTTTACAGTCAACTTTGATTTTCAAAAATGTAAATGCAGTATCAAACATTATCTTCTGTCCTTTTAATTCTTGTTCTTTTATTGTCCTCTCTGCTTAACAGTATATTTTTCTCATATTGTAAATAACCACTTGTGTCATAGTGGCCCCATTGTCTGGGTGAAATGATTAAATAAAAGAAAGAAAACAAAAGAAAGAAAGAAAACAGAATCTAAAAGCACACCTGGCCATCAGCAATTAAAAGATATTTTCTTATACCTTTAAAAGGTTAAACAAATTATGAAATCAATTTGTCACAAAATAATTATATTTTGCAAAAATATTACTTTTTGAATTTCCTTGATTTTTCATTCCAGGTATGGATTGAGTTCTGCTGCATTAGTACTTATATGTGGAATTTTACATATGGTTTAGATGTCTTTTTGGTAACACATAACAAGTCCAGGTAAAACAATTTGTCATCAAATATATATTCTACGATATAAAACAGTGACTATATATTTATCAGTTAAGCAGCCTGGTTTTCCCTATTTGCTAATAAGATATTCCATTGTTATGGTAACAGGAGACATTGCTTGATGGCAATAAGCAAACATGCCTTGTTATCATAGCAATGAAATATCTCATCTGGCAGTTCATACCTTGCTTTTTATTTGTTTTGTTTTGAGTTAGCTTTCATTGGATGTTTTTATTTTTAATGTTTTGAAAGGCAAAAGTTTCTCTTAAGTGTAACAACAGAGTTAAATGTATCAATAAAAAAAACATCATTATTTATACAGAAAATATAAGCAATATAATTCCAAAATTACTTAAATATGGTTGTCATTTTTTGATGGTATGGCAAACTAGTAGCAACAATGACAATACTAATAATAATACACCAGTTATCTTATTATAACCACTGGAGAAATAGTTAAAAGGAATTCTGTGGAATAATTGGCTATGATTAAGTGAAATTGACAAAATACTCAATAAACAAAGTTTGTGTGTGACATATTTTGTTTTTTAGGACTACAAACTACAAATACCCAGAACCACCCCCAACTTCATCAGGTACAAGTAGTTGGTCCACTTAACTGTTTTTGTTGCCAAAAACTATTTGAATTTGATTTTTATCATTTTTAATTGCAGATTAAAATTTCTCTGGCCAGTGCTAAACTGGATAATTCCTGGTCTGCTCACGGGTGTTGGTGCTTTTTATATCTACTATCCTTCACTCAGTCAGTAAGTTCCATGAATCTTTTTTCTACAGATTGTTATCATTCTTATAAATACCAACAGTAATTGTGGAAATTCTATGGTGCATCATTGTTATTTTAGATCCATGCTTTTTCATTAATAAAATGTTGCAAGCCTCTTGCAACTTTATTGCTATTTCCATGGCAAGTGTTCTGATAAGTTACATTCCTTTGTTCCACCAGCTCTGACATTTACAGCTGGGAGCTGCCTTGCCATGCACACACAGATGAATCATCTTCATTCCCTTCATATTCCATTAGTAAGGAGTAAGTTCACACTTGGACAGCTTCTTCACAAGAATTGCTGCTTTGTAGAACAGTAACTTGGCAGGATGTGTTTACCAATCACTACAATCTTGACCTCTTCATGTCTAGGGTTAACCATTATCTTTCCTACATAAGCTTATGAACTGCATTTCTTGCCTTTTCTTATGCACATACAACACCACACAGTAAACCTCTACCTTGTGTGACCTTTGGGCCTTTTTTGGCGTGAATATTAGGCAATAAAAACAATTACCTTATTATTGAATTAGCCAGATGAAGACAGCTTCTGATGTAATGGAAAGAATAGAGAAAAAGGCTTGGAAATAAAAAAAATGGCCATGATGTGTAAAAACATCTAATATATTTTTTGTGTCAATGAAATGAAAGACCTCTTATTTTTAAAAATACGAAACAAACACTGGAGCAAACAGTAGGTATGTGTGTGTGTCTCTCTCTCTTTCTCTCTCTTTTGCATCTCCCTTCTGGTTGATCTCCCCTAAAATAACTGTTTCCACTTCTGTCTTGTGAAAGTTAATTAAATCTCACATTGATCAGTCAGTTGTATTTTGGCTTCCCAATGAGCTGTCAAGACAACAGTTTTGTCTTGTGACAATATTAAACATGGTCATCAATTCTAGGAAGAATCTTTATGATTAAACCACGACTAGTATTCTCACCCCTATTGTTTTTATCACTATGTTTGGCCAAGGCATTCTTTAGCCTTCTTTGGTTAAACCAACAATGATAAGGATATCAGTTGGAATAACTTGAGGAATAATAAAATCATACATGTTAGAAGTTTGGATGATATTTATCTGAGCTGTACAAAACTGTAATTCAACAAATAAATAAGTTAGAAAACTAGCCATCAAATTTTTCATTGTAGCAACCAGGGTAAGGATTTAATTCCCATCAGTCTGTATGACTGCTGAAAATGACAAAATCTAGAGTTCAAATCCAAAATGATGAGGATATTAGTCTGAATCACTGATGGACAAGTGATAAAGGAGGAATTAAAAAACAAAAATGTTAATTTTTAATAGTAGTGGAAATATTTGGTATTCATTGACTGAGCAGCCAATGCCACCATAAATTTATGAAATCATTCTACTAAAACAGTGTTTCAGGAAGTAGCTGCTATTATCTTTCCAGTTCTGATGGAGGTCTCCTTCCTAACCTTCTGTTTGAAGTTGTGTGGAATATCAACATCTTGATTATGTCATTATTTCCTCTTTGAGTTACATGTGCTATCCATTTTAGTTGTTGCTGCTATTGGTAGACCTCAAGTGATGTGATTTCTATTATCTGGTACAGTTCTTTCTTTCCAATTCTGTAGTGCTAGTCCATAATGCTCAAAGAAGGATGGTCTTCACCAAGACTATCAGGTTTCACTTGCTCAGACATTTTAACCATTTATATTAAAAAGCGATTGTATACAGCTGACAGTTTGACTCACTATTTCTCTCTGCTTAACTCTTTTACTCTGCAATTTTCTGTAATAAAACTGTTAAGTTGTCTGTCACTAAAGACTGGCTGTGTCAGATATATACTGACATTATTTAGCAAGTTATTTAATTTAGCATTTTCAACTTTACTGATTACCATATTTACACTGGTGGGCTCTCTAACCTGCCTCATCTGCATGTGGCTAAATGAAGTTGGAAATCCAAAATATCAACAGTAACTATGCAGTTGATATTTTGGATTTCCTGGAAGATAAAAGTGTGAAGGAATTGGATTATAAGGACATTGATTCTTTTTTCAATGTGCTTGACCACATTGAAATTTTGCCTCATTTGCAGATTAGAAAGCATGTTTTTCTACTCGATGATAACACCTGCCTACATGTTGCCAAAAAGTTAAACATAAAAATTCTATTGGCCCTTAGCTATTCACCCTGATGGATTACAGTTGCGTTTAAGCATCTACAAGACCAGCATAACCTTCTCCAGCTAGGATTATATTTGAAAAACCTTCAATGAAATTATCATTTTGTTAAATCCATGTTTCTCAACTGATGTTCCCCAGGACCCTAGGGTTCTGCAAGAGACCACTAGTAGTTCTACAAGAAACAGTTGTAAATAGGCTAAGACATTTTTGAGTAATTTTTGTTTAATTTTATATTCATAATTTTACTATACATATATGGCATATTGTTGGAAAATCCTTGGTTATTATAAAAAAGGTTTCAACTTCTCATATTATTTAAAATTATAAGCATAGGAAACATATTTAGTGATATTTATATGGCATCAGTGTAAAACCACCTTTACTGGTTAGACAGGACCTGTATGTGATGGATTTGTATATCATTGAGTGACTCAAGTACAGGACAAGTGTCTATATTTAAATAAATAGTTATATAAAAAAAAACAAATATGATATATGGCAAGAACTGAAATCAATCTGGTTCAACATTTTTCAAGAGATTTTTATTTTTAGGTCTACATGTGACCATTAATTAATTTCTTTTATGTGATACTTATATAATGCTTGCATTCTTTTTCCTTTCAGGTGTGGAGGACCCAATATGAAAGAAGTTGTTAATTATGTTGCTTACTTCTTTCCAATGTCCCTTGTTATTGTCTGTAATCCTGTCTTTTTCTATTACACTGCTAAAGATATTTGAAGTTCAAAAGACCTTTTCAAAGTAAAGACAAAAGGTATAAGTGTGTGTGTGTATATATATATATATATATATATATATATATATATATATATATATAGAGAGAGAGAGAGAGATTAAAAGTTCTACGTTTCTAGGGGAAGAGTGCTCAATATCAGACATCAGAGCTTTTATAGATATAGACACAGGTACAGGAATCAACACAGCATGATGACTGTTAGTTTCTTGTCTCAATATACTTGGTCTGACGATTATATCAAAATATAACACTGACATTCATCATACTGTGTTGATTCATATGTCCACTACTTTCTCATATGTAAACTCAGCTTTAGTCACTTTCCCACTGCCTGAAGGTTTCCTCCCTGTGCATTCTTTTATAAATACTTTCATGGTGATTGTTCAGATGAGCTCTTCACTATGGTACCTAGACTTTATGAATTTAAGTGTAGTACTAGACTGGCATCAAGATATCATCAATTGACAGTTGAATTGGCTAGATGTAGTTGTAAGTTCTATGCTAACGGTTTCTTTTCTTGCACTTCTCACTTGTGGATTTCCCTTCTGGCTTATGGTTATATTATGTTGAAACAACAGTTTTCATACAATCACTGAAGTTAAGCAATGTCAAGTATGATCGGTACTTAGATGGGTGACCATTTAGGAATATTAGGTGCTGTAAGCTTGGATGTATGGATGGTGTAATGAATAACAGCTCAGAATTGGAAATAGGGAGAGCTGAGTTCCACTTCCAGTTATAGTCACTTATGTGCAAATACCCTTGAGATAGGTATGAATCCACCTCTTCTGTTCCCAACTATGGGTTAATTAGTAGAACTTGTATCAGTAAATCATTATTATCTCGAAAAAATTCTTACAATCTAAAAAAGTATTTTCTGGCTTTAAATAACTTGCAAAAGTTTGATAAACTGTAAAAAAAACTAATCAATCAATCTCACTCTTCATACTTCAAATTCTGGGATCAATTGTTTTTAATTTGATCTTAGAATATATAACAAGGGTATATCAAAAGTATTTTTATTTATTTTTTTTTTACAGACTTCCAAAGCCTATCTCATATACACATCTAAAGACTATGATTCCACTATATTATTATTATTATTATATCAGTTTTATAGTATCTTCTATAATTTGCTGATCTGCCTTTTATTTTGATTTTAATTTGAGACAAAAACTTTGAAGAGACATTATTTTGAATTTTTATTTCATAAAGTATTGTCAATCATAATTAATTTTCAATTTGTATTACCTTCATTAACAAAAACCTTACAGTCTAAACTTGATGGAACCAACACTTGGATGTTGAAAGCTATACTTAACATCTCCTGGAGACAACATCCAACAAAAATCACATCTCTATGTTATATGAATGCAGAATGTGCTTTGCAGGACATTGCTGGCAAACAAAACAAGAAATTGTGAATGGTTCACTGTTCTGGACACTCAGCCATGGAGCAAGACAAGCTGGTCACCCAGCAATCACCTATATTGACCAGCTATGACACAGAATACCTCCCTAATGACCTTCCGACCTTGTAGGATGGTTGATGTGATAGGCTCATGCTCAACCTAATGATAAATTACTTTCATGTTCATTTTTAATTATTTTTCCTTAAGAAGGATGAATTAGGATGAGGGTTGTCAGTTTTAAGAGGTCTATGATTTCAATTAGGATGCAGGTTGTCAGCTTTAAGATGTCTATGATTTCAATTAGGATGCAGGTTGTCAGCTTTAAGATGTCTATGATTTCAATTAGGATGCGGGTGGTCAGCTTTAAGATGTCTATGATTTCAATTAGGATGCGGGTGGTCAGCTTTAAGATGTCTATGATTTCAATTAGGATGCAGGTGGTCAGCTTTAAGATGTCTATGATTTCAATTAGGATGCAGGTGGTCAGCTTTAAGAGGTCTATGATTTCAATTAGGATATGGGTGGTCAGCTTTAAGAGGTCTATGATTTCAATTAGGATATGGGTGGTCAGCTTTAAGAGGTCTATGATTTCAATTAGGATGCGGGTGGTCAGCTTTAAGATGTCTATGATTTCAATTAGGATGCAGGTGGTCAGCTTTAAGAGGTCTATGATTTCAATTAGGATATGGGTGGTCAGCTTTAAGATGTCTATGAAATAAATTAAAAATTATTAGCTTCAAAAGTCATATGATGTGTGAGTATATAAAGTAATTATACCTAAACAATATTTTTGTTTTGAATTCTTGATATCTTTGTGACTCCCTAAAAATTTACCATATTTTGTTTTGTTTCAGTCAAATCTATTGTCATCAGGCAACATGGTCGTTATTCTGGAGCTGAACAGACATTAGTTCAGAATGCAAAAAGAAAATTTTATCTTATTATGACAGTATTTATTGCTTGGTAAGAAGTTTTATATTTTTTTCTTAAATTCATATTCTAAAAAAAATAATCAGAGCTTTATAGCTGACTATTGTCCATTGATTTTCCACAGCTGATTTTTAAAGTTATATTCAAGTTTAAAATTTTTTTTCTGTTGAGGTATGGGTATCTCATTATGTCATATTCTTCAGGAGCAGAATTTTAATCTTTGTTTTTATCTTTTGACTGTTATATTCTCTTTTCTTCATTTAGTCTTATAGACCATTATTTTTTGATTATTTACATTTCTGAATGGTTAAAATCTCTTATTGTACAAGTTATTTAACACAGCTTCTATGAATAAAACAAGACAATGATAATTTGCCTATATTCAAATGTACATTGGGATAGCAAAAGATCCCTTCCAAAAGTTAAGCAAACTATTTAGAAATCTTGTGAGAAACAAAGAAACGTCTACTTAGCTGTTATGTAATATTGGTAGCTCCTATATGGCAGTAAATGGTGGACATTCTCATCACAGACTTGTGGCAACAGAAATGCTGAGAATATGATGGACTGAACATGTAAGCAATGAAGTTTTAGAGAAAATGGAAATAAAAAGGAAACTTATACTTAATATTAGAAAGAGACAATTGAAATATCTAGGGTACTTTTCTGAGAATTTTAATTTTGAAATATCTTTGATGATAAATTACAATTTCAGTACATTTATTACTTGTTTCTTTTATCTATTCTTTTTGCAGTTGGTTCCCTAATGTAATTAACGCAATATTAGATGCCTTCCAGTTCACCAATAGTTTAGGAAAAGCAATGTGGGCCATGTGGGTTTTGAAGGTGAGTAAAATTTCGAAAATCTTCACATCTCGAAGAACTACAGAGGGAGAGAGTGAATGAACATCTATTATATTTTCTTTATTTCTTAATTCATATCAAGTTGTTTAAAAATGGAATTGTTAATTTATTGTCAGCCTGTTCTCATTCTGCTGTCCCTTTCTATGGATATCACACAATTTTCTTATTTAGTACAGATCAGTTATTGCTTGCCTCTTTCCAATGAGTCTAAATCCATACTACAAGGTCCAGGGATTGAACTCACATTTACTATGTCATCAAATTCATAAACCAATGCTTTAATCATCTAGGCTATAGTCCATGGGACAATCCTGAATGTAGAGCCTTGGAGCCTTAAACCCAATCTACCTGCTGCTGATGAATACAATATGGAATCCATTAATAAATAGACACAGAAATGACAACAAGGCCTTAAAAGCAACAGCAAGGACAAAAGAAGACTCGGTGAAGTCAGTCAAGTATGACAAGCAGCAGCCTCAATATCAGTAAATTGTGTGTGAGTTTGTGTAAGAAAATGGAACATATGTTTCATGTTTTAAAATGAGATAAGTGTGACAGTGAAAAAAATTAGCACTATTTACATTATTCGGACTATTGTCCTCATCTTTGCTGAATCACAATGTTTTGGCCGTTGTACGCTCCAGCCTTCTTCAGGTGGTTGGAATGTCGAACTGAAACCTTTATCTCGCTCACTGGGGTAGACTGTTCTAGTTCCATGTGCCATATTGAACTCAAACTCTGAGTTCTGTCACTAGATCTAACTAACACCTTTATCCACTGTGCCATGTAACCTTGAGGACATCTGTGTGTGAATTTCTGGGTATTATAAACCTAATGTCTTCAGCCCTCATTTTTTACCTGTGCTCATAGTACAATTTTTTGTTATCATCATGTTTTTATCAGAGCTCATATTACAATTTTCATTGTTATTATCGCTTTTCTCTGGCACTCCTTATTACTGGTTCCCATATTGTATTCATTTTTATGCTTGGTTAGCTCAGGAGCTTTTTGTGGCCTTGCATATGTGCTGATTCCTTAAGTTTACAAATTTTCCAATGATGTTCTTTGTCTATGATTTCAACCTGATCCCACAAAGAGCGGTGATCTCCCTTTTCTCTCCATATGTGGTCAGCCACACCTAATTTTTCCACTTCACCTCGTGTTACAGCTTTCTGATGTTCTTGAAGCCTTACCTTAAGGTGGCATATCTGTCTCCCTTTTTATATTTCTTTCAGCAGCTGCACGGGATGGTTTATGGACAGTCTTTAGTCATGTTCTCCTCAATGGGGGGGGGTCTTACTCGGGAGAGATATCTGCGAAGTGTTGTCCAGCTTTTGAACCTTTTTTGTCCTCAAGGGTACATGGCAAGGTGGATAAAGGTGTTAGTTAGATCCAGTGACAGGACCCAAAGAGTGTGAGTTCAATACCTGATTAAGGCAGTAGAGAACTTGGAGAGGGGAATTAACAGGAGATAACTGATAACCGACATCCATTAGACATGGCACGTGGAACTAGAACAGTCAACCCCAGTGAGCAAAATGAAGGGTTCAGTTCGACATTCCAATGATCTGAAGAAGGCTGGAGCATACAATGGCCGAAACATTGTGATAAATATGGCAACAAAGATGAGGACAATAGTCTGAATAATGTAAATAGTGTACATAATATCTCATTTCAGAAATATAGACAAACAAATTGGCACCAGTAGGTAATATAACAAAATAAAAACTGGAGACAGACTAATAAAAATTGAATAGGGGTTTGGTATATCAAAATGAACCCTTAAGTCAGTGTAGAAAAAATTGATCGTGGACTTGAGCCTGGAGTCAGTTTAATAAAAGAGTATGCATGTCTGGTGTAGCAAAATTTGATGTTGGACATTGAGTCAGTTTAATAAAAGCATATGTATATCAGGTGTAGCAAAATTTGATCTTGGAATTGAATCTGGGACTAGTTTAATAGAAATGTATGCATATCAGGTGTAGCAAAATTTGATCTTGGACTTGAACCCAGAGCTGTGTTGGGTTCTAATATAACTTCTATAACTAACATTATAACTAATATAACTTCTAGAGCCAAAGGCTTAATTGAAGGTTCTTTCATAAATGGTTATAGAAAGCTAGAAATGCTTGGAATGAACATTAAGAGTAGAAATTACAAGCAAGTCAGAATGGGAAAAATGAGCGAGATGAAATTAAGGCTCACGTGTGGTAAAAAAGGTGATAACAGTAATTAAGGAATGCTTGGTCAAATACTATGCAAAGTCAACAAAAAACTTCATGAGTATAGATATATACAAGTAGAGGAAAAGGGTCACAGTTCTTACCCATAATGCTTGGAATATCAATGTTTAGAATGATTGCATGCTGGATCAGTTATGGCCCTTTCACTAGAAGCAGGTCTGAGCCAGAAGTGATCAGACAGAGACAAGTCTAAAAGCATTCCTTAAAAACAAGGAGTTACTAAGGGAGATAAATGATGGGAACTATACTAATACAGAATAAAATACTCCCTGTCTGGCGTATTTTAGATGTTATTAATATATCTCTTGGTCAGATCTAAAGGAAGTCAGTCTCTGTGACGGGCCTGAAGAGGTGTTTGATACCACCTTTTTTACAAAATTCTTATTTCCACCTTCCTCACTAGTTTGTCTTCGCTGGGTAAAACACATGTGATAAGTCTGAGAGTACATTTGTTCCTTGCTGCTTGGCTATCTATGTTTCCAGGTTCTAGGTTGAGTTCACTTGATGTCTATTTGGTACGTTTCTGAAGTGAGGATATGTATTCTCTCCTTCACCTACCCCAAAAGACTTCAGCCAGGTGCTGGACAAATTTCCATTGACCTTTTAGAATGTCTTTAGTTCTTAATCTGCACTCACACGTAAAAGACAAGCCTACTTTTCCAGTGATGAGTGTGGTAGGTTAGAGTATGCAACGCTCATCGGGATCTGTTGAAACTGAAACAAGAGGTCTGGTATTGATGATGGTGGAAGCTCCTGCTAAGAAGGTGGTGCGTAGCTCATGAGTTAACCTTTCCTTATGCTGCAGGAATCATGCTTCTCCCATATGTGGAGGGTGGGGAGGGGTGAATAACTAAATGCAGCCCTGCTCTGATAAGGATCTGTTGATTGAGTTAATGTCAATATTTGATTTAACATTCAACTCCTTGCAGGTGCTCACAAAATTGGTCTCCCAATCAGAGTATATATGTTTGGCTGGTCCACAAATCGAAAAGAAGCACCTGAGTGTATTTATGAAGCTAGAAATATTTAGTGATTCAATTGATTCAAAGTGAACCTCCCTAGAACTCATGCAGGTGAATATCACTGCCCACCACTTGCTGTTGATGAGGGCACTCTTTGTCCAACATGAGGAAATAGAACAGGGCCCAAACACATCCAGGCTGATGTTGGTGAAAGGGGGGCCAACACAAAGACAATCAACAGGGAGGTCAGCTATCTTCTGTATTTGGGTAGGGCCATGTAATCTTTGGCATGTGGCACAGTTATGAATGGATTGACCTACGTACCTCTTATTGCCAACTAGCCAAAATCCTGCTGCACGGATGGTTCCTTATGTGAGGAGGTGTCCTTGATGTCTTGTTTGTGCATGTTAGTACATTACATGCAAAAGTCCAATGTGGTGCTTGCCTGGGATAATAACAGGGTATGTTTTTTGTCACTCCCAATTTTTGCTTTACTGATATAGCCTTCAATTTGTAGTAGGCTATGCCTATCAATGAAAGGACAGAGGTTCTTGAGTCGGCTACCCTTTGGAAGCTCCTCTTTGTTCTTTGTGTTGTCTTTATGTGAGAGCTCTACAGCATAGATTTCTTCCTGCTCAAATGGTGGCATTCTTAGCTTGGAAAAGCTCCTTGATAGTATGTGCCTTCCAACAGTAGTACTAGTCTGTGCACTTGCTATTTGTGGTGACTCAGGTCTGGTGAAGGGCATAAGCAATGTATATGAGATTGGCCATAGCCCTAGTCAATGATGACCAAGTGAAGAGTCTCTCAAAATGCTGAGATCAAACATTTAACTTTCATGCTCTGACAAAAGAAGCACAGGTGCTCATCTTAAGATGAAAAGCAGATACAGACTGGGTGCCAAGGTCAGCAGAGTTGTAGTCAGTGTGTTTCAGGATTGGAGGATCTGCATATGCATATCATGCAATTGCTGATGTACACATAGCAACATCTAGTTTCATTGTGGATGTATCCTAAGACTTACTGTCTGTGTAGAAATTAGTGGATTGGAAGTCTATGCCAATTTCAGGAGATCAGTTCAGTTGCCAAAACAGCAACACAAAGTTCTAGTCTGGGGATAGAATGTTCAGGTTGTGGGGCAAGATTTGTTTTCCCCATGATGAAGCTGATCTGTTTCCTTTGCTCACAGTGACCTTGAGATATACTGAAACTATCGCTTTGGTAGATGTGTTGAAAAAACATGAAGTTCTTTATGCACTGTTCCCAAGGGTGGTATTGTTGAGAAAACTCTTGAGATCTGGATGTCACTTAGTTCTTTCAATGAGCCTCTCCATGAAGACCAGCATTTCCTGTGCTAAAGAAGAGTCCCATTCACTGTTTTCATTCATCAGCTTCTTCAAGATGAATTTGCCTTGAATGGTGATGGTTGCTGCAAACCCCAATGGATCATATAGGCTGTTAAGGGTGGGCAAGATGCCCCTGTGTGTGAAGAGCTTTTCCATTGCAGGCACTTGAACATGAACACATCTTTATTGAGGTCCCACTTGAGGCCAAGGCTGCACTGTTTGGGTAATACATCTCCACTCAGGTCCAAGTCCTTAAGATCATTTGCAAGGTTCCATAATCAGAATGTGGTCATGACATACCCTCTGTTGGAGATGATTTTATGCAGTCTTAAATTTGGGCTGGCAAGGATGTCTTGTATTTTTTGAAGCAAGGAGACTGTAGTTTCAACTCTAGGTAGTGATTTTAGACAATTGTCAATGTAAAAATTCCAGTTGACTAACTCCTCAAATGCTGGATCATAGTTAAGCTGGCTTTCCTTGAGTACTTGTCCGAGACCGTAAATCACTACAGCAGGAGATGGACTGTTGCCAAAGACATGGATCCTCATTTGATATTCTACAATTTTGTTGGCAGGATCATTGTTGCTATACCAAAAGAATTTTAGAAAGTTCCTGTGTTCTTCCTTCACCAGGAAGCAGTGGAACATAAGTTTAATATCTGCTGTAACGACAACCAATTCCTTGCAGAAACGAGTGCGGACTCCAACCAAGGTGTTGTTAAGGTTGGGTCCACTGATTGGCACATCATTAAAGAATTAGAGAGTGCTAGTCTTCTTTTGTCAGGAGACAGACATGTCTGTGTCATGGTTTTGAAGCCTTCATTTTGTATTTGCCAGCCACCACATCAGGATGAGTAGATGGGTAAGGGGTTGATAGGGGAAAGAGCTGACTTGTCCCAAGTATCCCACCCAGATGAGCAGGCAAAGCCCTGAATAAACCTTGACACATAATATGGGAAACAGTGTTTGTTTCTCAGTGTGAAGTTTCTTTCATTGTTACCTTGTAAACATGTTGTGTGCTCTTTCCCAGCTTTTGGTAAACATTGACAAGATCAGGGATTGAAATGCAATGTGGGTAATCATTGATGGGCTGGTGAAAAGCTTATCTGAAGGTCACATTGTATGTTTACAGTATAACAAAATAGATTCTGAAGCCTGTGTAGCAAAATGGCACCTGGAACCAATGTAACAAAATTAAATGTGGGGTCAATGTGACAAGATGCTATATGCGACCAGTGAAAACAAAATATAATGAGTAGCTGGTGTAACAAAAGGGAAACTGGCACTTGTGTAACAAAGTTGTATATGCATCCCATCTACCAAGCTAGGACTTGGGTCCAGTGTTATTGCTGGACATTGCTAAAAATGTAACAAAATGTGGCAATAAACTAGTGTGATAAAATGTGACTTGGTGCTGGTGTATTGGAAGCAGAAGTGGATGCGACAAAATGGATCTTGTAGCCAATTAAACAAAAGGAGATGTGGAGACTGTATAAAAAAACGAATCCTTGGTCCAGTGTAAAAAGTTGAGTCTGGTGTAATGAAATGGAACCTGGGGGCCAGTAAAAAAAAAACCAAAAAAACAATTGATTTTTGAGCCAGTGTAGTAAAATGAAACCTGGATCAAAAGTTACAAAATGAGATATGTGGCCAGTAGAAAGAAACAGAGACAGTGTAACAAAAAGGGATATGGGGCTAATGTAACAAAACAGGATGTGGAGCTAGTGTAACAGTGGACATGGAGATGATCTAACAAAAGATGTAAGGGGGTTATTTTTAAATTTTGGGATGATGGACCAGTGCACCTAAGTTTCACATGCATAAAGTGTGACAAAATGTGTCCAAATTTCTGAAATGAAGAGTTAACATTATTTATAGTATTTATATGGGGACAATTGTCATGATAATAATGAAGATGGGAAAATAGTCTGCATGTAAACAGTGTAAAAAATGTGTCCAATATTAGAAATTGGGAGTTGGTGACAATGCAACAGACTGAGATGAGTTCCTGTGTAAAAACATGGGACTTGGAGTTGGGAGTCAGCGTAACAAAATTAGTCTGGTATAACAAAATAAAATCTCTAAACAGTTTAAGAAAATGGGACCCTGGATTAGTGAAATAAAATAAAAAGAAGCTGCAGCTTTTGTAATAAAATACAATTTAAAGCTGATGTAACCAAATGGAACGTGAAACTAGTGCAACGAAATGGAACATGTGGCCAGTGTAACAGAATAGAACCTGCACCCAGTGTAACAGAATAGAACCTGCACCCAGTGTGTAAGATAATTGGGCTTTGGGCTGGTGTTACAATATTGAACCTGGAGCCTGTGAAACAAAACATGACAATATGGCCACTGTAACAAATGCTTCCTGATGTCAGACGAACAAAAGAGTGTGTGGGACCTGTGTAACAAAATTAACCTCAGAGTATGGGAAACAAAATGAAATGTATGACCAGTGTAACAAAATGGTGCTCAGGGTCAGTGTAATAAATTTCTAGGATCAATAAGTGTTTTTGCATAAATATTGAAAAATCATTTGCTGACTAGATAAGCATTGTATATCCTATTTGCTACTGGGACTGTCAAAATCTCCGCCTGATGGTTTTGTAGAACTTCAAAGAGAAACATTGATTATCACAAAAATAGATCCAGTTGAGTAACTTGAATCTTTGTGTATCTAAGTTCACTCAGCAAAGAGATTCTTAAAAAAATAAATGGTGTTTCTTATAAGTCACTCTTCTTCTTCTTCTATGTGCTGTCCCTTCAGGACGTGGATGATCATGGCTCTCCACTTCCCCATCCTTTGTAGTTCTGAATATGTTTTGTCTTTTTGCTATTTCTCACAAACCCTGTTCTGTCATCAAGCCCGCTAGGTATGTCAAGCATTGGTTTCCCTTATCTCTCTTTTCTTCTATCTGCTTTGTGAGTATCAGATTCTCCAAGCCCTCCTTTCTTATTATGTGTTCCAGAAATTTCAGCTACCTCTTTCTGATGTTAAGTATAAGCTTCCTCCTTGTTTGCATCCTCTCCAAAACCTCATCATTGCTCACATGTTCAATTCATGGTATCCTTAGCATCCTTCTGTAGAACCATACCTTTGTTGCCTCGAGTCTCTTCTTCATCTTTGAGGAAACCATCCAGTATTCGCTGCCATAAAAGAGGACATATATCACGTAGCAGTTCAGTACTCTTTTCTTTGTTGACCAACAAAATCCTCTTGTCTCATAATATTCTGCCTAGCTTTGGGAATGTGTCTTTGGTCATCCCAATACATCTTCGAATCTCAGCGTTGCACTTACCATCCTCTGTCAGAACACTTCCTAGATATCTAAATTTCTGCACATGCTTGATTTTAGTGTCCCCAACCTGTAAATCGCATTTCGGGCTCATCTTTTTATTGTCTTCTTGTAGTTTATACTTAGTCCCTTTTTCTTGTTCTCCTTTGCTTCCTTCTGTAGGAGGTTTTGTAATTTCCTCTTCATGTCTGCTATCAGCACTGTGTCATCCATGTATCTTATGTTGTTAAAATTGTGGCCACAAATGATGAATCCTGGTAGGATTTCCAAAGACTCAGAATCATTTGCTGTATTGGTTGAACTTTCTATTTTTGTATATTTGCTGATCCGTTTCTATTCATATACATTTTCTGCCAGTATAGGTTCTTGATTATTCTAATATCCTTCCTAAATATGTCAAGGTTGGTGTGTAGTTCCAACAGATCTTTGTGGTATACTTTGTTGAAATACCTTTACATACTCTATAAAACACAGGTACATGTGATTCTGTGTCTGTATTGCTCTTTCTGATAACATTCTGAACATAAATATTGCCTTCCTTGTTCCAGTCTCTTTGATGAACATACAACTGACTGGATTTAATTTTACTTTTTCAGACCAAGAGACCAACCATACAACAGGAGGTAAGTTAAAAAAAAAATCCAGAGCCAGATCAGGTCAAAAAAGTGTACTGCTCCCATATATGGGTAGGAGCTGCCCAGCATTAACTTTACACTCCTGATGTCTATTTTCCACTGTGTAACAACTAGCTCATAGATGAGACATTGCAAGCTTCTCACTGCTCTATTTCTATTTTCATGGAGAGTGTTCAGATGAACAATACTCATTAGTTCCACAAACTAAAATAAAAACTCTTTGAATGATCAGAAGTAAAGGAGTAACAAGACATAGCAGTAAAACTTTCTATTTCTTTCATTTAAATCTCTAACCCTTTTCTTTTTTTCACTTTTCTTTTCATTTTTCTCTAATTTTCTTACTTACTGTTGTGTCACTGGGTGTGCTTATCTGTGTCAAATAAGTAGAACACACAAATTCGAACCTTTTATACATTTTATGTACTGTTAGATAATAATAGATGTAAAGCCTAACAAGTGGATTACTGGTAGATTGACAGTTCGATAAAGGATATATGAGGATGCGTGATGGCAATCTTGAAATCCCTTTCTGCTCTGTTGTCCTAGAGTTCCTATCAAGGGTCATAACTTGGTTCCTATCCAGGGAGCAAGTTAGCTACCTTTTTACGATGTCAGACCCAAATCTTACCCTCTACCTTTTTCTCTTTAATACCTTTTTTTTCCCTATTATGCCTCTCTTTTGGTTTTAACCCCTTTGTTTGGTGTTTGAAAAACCAAAGATACGGATCTAATAAATATCATATAGGACTCCTCCTCACCTGTGAAATTGCTGCAGCACCATAAGTGGTTGATAAAACCTCTGTATAGATGTTAAGCAATATTCTCCTGATAGTTGTCCATTGTTTCTATAAATGATCAGTTGAACATGTCTATTTGGCATACATGCCCTATACATAGGACATCATTTTCTTACCAATACACTGATGAAATTCATTTCATGACGTTCATTAGGATGACTCTTTGACTTACCGGAATAAAAAAGAAAAGTCAAAAAGTAGTTTTATAATTTTAGTTTGATTCTGTACCTTTTTTTTTTTTTTTTTTTTTTTTTTTTTTTGACACCAATATTATACTCTGACTGGATTTATTTTTACTTTTTCAGACCAAGAATCCAATTATCCACAGAATGGTAAGTCAAAAAGCAGTTCTATTATTTTATTTTCATTTTGTACCGTCTTTTTGACACCAGTATTATGTACTGATTGGAATTATTATTACTTTTTCAGATAGAGATTTGAACCATATACCAGGGGTGAGTAAAAAATTATTGTATTATTGTATTTTTTATTCGTTACTGTTTTTTTTTTTTTTTTGATACCAGTATTATACTCTGACTGGATTTATTTTTACTTTTTCAGCCCAAGAGTCCAAATAAACACAGATAGGTGAGTCAAAAAATCAGTTCAATTATTTTATTTTTATTCTGTACCATTTTTTCTTTCTTTTTTTTTGTAAGCAGTATTATACTGATTGGTTTTATTATTACTTTTTCAGATGAAAAGTCCAGCCTTCCAATGGATGGTAAGTAAAAAAGCAGTTTTTATTCAACATCCTCTTTTTTGAACTTATTATTTTTTTATACTGATTTTTATTTTTTATTTTTAATCAGCCCAAATGTCCAATATACACCTAAGTCAAAAGTTGTATAATTTATTTTAATCTGTACTTTTTTTAACACCAGTAAATCTTAATTATTTTATATTCCATATCTTTTTTTTTTCCCCCAATGGCTCATGGTATGCATACATCTTTGTGCTGGGGTATCTGTGGGCTGTAAATTTGACCCTCCAAATATGTTATCTGAAAGAAAGCTCATATTTTGAAATTATTTTATTTTTATTTTGTACCATCTTTTTTTGACACTGGTATTATATAACTGATTGGATTTATTATTATTTTTTCAGACCAACCCACCAACTATACACCAGGAGGTAAGTCAAAACACTTTTGTGTTATTTTATTTTAAATTTTTACACTCTTTTTAATACCAGTATTATATACTGACTGAATTTACTTATATTTTTTTCATAGCAAGATTCCAACCTTACACCAGGAGATAAGTTAAAAAATAGAGCCAGATCAGCTCAGAAAATGAGTACTCTGCCATATATCAGTGGGGAGCTGCCCAGTTTTAACTTGCTCCTCTTGATGCCCTCTTTTTTTTTTTTTTTTTTTTTTTTTTCATTATGCACTATCTTTACCACAGACTTTGCAAGCCTCTTGCTGGTCTATTGTGTTTCCATGGAGAGTTTCAGATGAACTTCAATCTTTAGTTCCACCAGTCCTCACATTCATGGCTATGACCTGCTATACCATGCACATTGTAGCGGACCACCTCATTCCCTTCATATTCCACTGGTGAGAAGTTCCATTCAAGTAGTTTTTTCCATGAACTAGTGCCTTGTGAAACTCCAAAGAGGTTGCTTCCCTGATCACTATTAAGCTTAACAAATCTAGGGTTAACTGTTATCTTCCACACACACCTGCACAAACTGTACCCCTCTTATCTTGATATATCTTGTATAGGAGAATACCAATGTAAAAAAAAAAAAAAAATGCTGCACAATCTCCCCACATATGAAGAAAATATTTGAAGCAACAGAAATGTGGTTCTGTAGAAGGATACTGAGAATAGCATGGACTGAATATGTCAGCAATTAGGATTTTTAAAGAAAATGAAAAAACAAACACTTATACTTTATATCTGGAGAGAGTTGAAATTTCTAGGACACATAATGAGGAAAAAGGACTTGTACAAATTGATACTCAATTCTATCTAAAACTCCTTGATTCTACCATCCATAGAGGTATTAGATTGGTGCTTGGGGTTTTTAAAACATCCCCAGTTGAATGTTTATATGCAGAAGCTGACAAATAACAATTAGATGTGAAAAACTGGTACACAGTATTATAGAAAACTAAAATCCTGTCCATCTAAACTTTTCTCACAAAAATACTTTCCTCCCTCAATACAGAAATCTTTATCAGCAAAAAGAAAAACACTATAAAATCATGGGCTTTGAATGAATCCTTTATTGAGAAATCTAAAATACAACTGGTAATAATCCATGAGGATATCACTCTAACATTGCTCCCTGGACCATACAATCTCCAAAAATAATATTGACTTAAGCAAATTCCAAAAACAAATATGCATCCTCTTATCTTTCAGGAAGAATTTGATAAAATCAAAGAAAACTATCCCAGTCATGCACTTATCTTTACAGATGGGTCTAAACATGGAAATATAACAGGATGTTCAACAATATCTCAGAAGAAAATAAGCAGTAAGCACCTTCCAGACGAAACCTCCTCCATCAATGCTGAAGCCTGTTCCACAGATCTAGCACTCAACATTATTTCAAAAAATAAAAACAAAAAAATTATAACCTTTTCTTATTCATTATTAGTTTAACAACACTAAAAAAATAAGACTTGACAACCTGTTAATACTCAAGTTGATAAATAAACTCCATTTAATATCTGTGTCAATAGATGTGATGTGTTGGATCCTAAGTCACATTGGAATAATTGGAATGACAAAGCTGATGCAGTTTGCTAAACATGTTGAGAATATGGAAATTGAGCTGAACTTTAAGATCCCTCACACAGACCTGAAGAGCCAAATAGATTTATTAAGCAAAAAATGGGAACAACAATAGAGTAACAATGCACCAATTACTACAAATCAATCCCAATACGTGGTGAATGGAAGCCAGGTTATAGAAAATCCTGAAAAGAAGAGGTAGCATTGGCCTACTTGCACATTGGACTACTTGCACATTGGCCATGCAATAATTACACACTTGTACCTACTGAAGAACCATCAACATGCCCAACATGTAAATCTGCATACGATAAAACATGTATTGACTGAATGTACAGCTCTTACTCCATTTAGGAAGACTTTCTTCAATATAAGCAACATAAGAGTGGTCTTTGAAAGAGCAAGGATGGATGGTATTATCATTTCTCAAAAGTGGGTTATATAAAAAAATATAAAACCAAAAAAAAGAAAACTAATATCTAAACCAACCAACCAACCAACCATGTGATGGAAAAAAAGAGCTGAAACCATTAGTTGGAAAAAAAGAAAATAAGTAACTAAATAGTTGATAACATATCATTGAGTATAAAAAAAAAAAAAAAAAAAAAAAAATTTTTAGGAATTTTTTTTTGGTAAATGATTATCTCTTTCACTACTCCCCCCTGTCACATAAGTGACACTCAGGTGGGCCTCTTTATTCTGGAGTTTCTCCAGAGTGGGACGACTGTTGGAGGGGATTGTGTGGTATGTTCTGACGACTCTAGGATTCTTCTGATCTGAAAACCTCATGCACAGAGTCTTCACCATCTGAAGAGGTGCTAGCCCTACCTCCGATGGTGATTATTTGTTCACTTCCTGTGCACTCACTGCTAGTGTCACTTGTTGAAGTATCTGAACCTACATAGCAATGCAAGTCTTTTATGTGTCTTGGTATTCCATCAACCAGCACAGAGCAAGAGTTACTTATTCCAGTGACATGCCCCACCCCGTGCAGTTGTACACCACCTATGTGGAGCCTTCACCCACACACGATCACCCAGGTCATACGGCACTCGTTCATTTATCCATTCAGTTGAACGCGTCATAGCTGGACTTTGTACCGGTAAATCATGTTGGCTGGTGCAGTTGAGAGTGATACATTATTGTCTTCAGGGGTAACATTGTGCCAATACACTGCCTCCATTATGGGACACTGCTTCCTAGCAGCGATTCTCTTGATGCTCTAATGACATCACTCAATTATGCCATTTCCTGATGGGACATCTGTGCAGCGAAAATCTGAGGTAGACTTCCCACGAATCAAAAAATTTTTAAAAAGTCCACTGTGTAATGCAGTGTCATTGTCAGTGAGGAGTTCCGTCGGAGGTCCATGTTCAAAGAACAACACCTGCAAGTGGTCGATCATGCTTGCGGAATCCTGTCAACACAGACGTCACCAAATAGTGAACCGGTTTGGGCCACAGTCAATCAGGGTTAAATAGTGAGTTCCATTATGATGGGTGATGTCCATTCCAACACGGTGCCACACTTTGCTCATATTCAGTTGTCCTTTTGGCCATTGCTCCACTTTGGCAATGCACAGATTTTCCATCTGACTTATAGTCACTCGCTGATGTTGCACAGACATGTCCTACCACTCTTCCTCTTTCTTAACAGCGTCAAACCATCTCTGGGGTACCCTTTTAAATTATCTGCCTTGTTCTGCTTGATCTAACCAGCTGTATATCCACTGATAAGTTGTACTCACTTACCAACTTTCCCAGTGTGTCTAGCCGCCTTTGAATGAGCATTTCGCTCGCAGCCTTTGTACGTATCCTGGCCTTCCCCGTAAGAGTGTCTACTATCCACTTATGCACACATGCAAAAATCGTGAACAAATGCAACACCTTTGCATTCCATTGAAGGGGCGTGGTTACTCCTTTAACAACAGCATCCAATTGATCCAGGTTGATATGTTGTGTATCCTTCTCAGGACTCAATCAACACGCATCTTCCATGACAGTAACATCTATTTCAAGAGACACTTCTGTTGCAAGGGAGCTCGCGTTGACCCAGATCTCAAATTCACATCTGTCAATGCACCATTTACCACATACACAGTCGTCTTGGATGACCCAGGTGGCTTCGTTATCATGTCTCTAAGTTGAGCATCATTTGTTTTGTCATCCCAGCCACAAGTGACAGCAGTCACCGTTATTTGATAAATGCAGTTGCAATGCGGATCCAACCACCCTGAAAATGTCCCATTAGCTTTCCACATAATGAGAACACACTGCGTGTGTCATGTGGTTGGACATGTCACATCAGCAGCTTGTTTCCAGTAAATGCGTTAATGCTCCCCCAGACCTGCAATGAGCACAGTCCTCCTGTCATTTTCTGGGTTTTACCTGACACCCAAAGTCAACAAACCTGCTTTACCTTTGATTTTGGGACTAAGGTTTCATTGATGTAGATGTCTTTCAATGTAAGCTGACTTGCTTGACGATTTCTCATCCTTGGATAGCACAGCATTCACGATGGCTTTCATGATGGCGGCGCCACATTGAGCCCTGATCCCATTCAGGTTAAACAGTATCTCCTCACCATTAAAGATCATGTCTGAAATGGCCACAGTGACCAGTGCACGCGTACCTGCAAAGTAGGCCTTCCATAGGTCAATCACAGAGACATTGGATCCCTTTCTTCTCCATT